CAAAAAGTCACGAGAATGGACATTTTCGTATTTTGTCTACAAAAGTTGTGCGTGAGGGTCGGGCGATAATTACGATCTGCTGACAATTTTGCAGTTTTTTGGTCCATTTCAACCCCTAAATATATAGCGATCATCTCCAAAAAGAGTAGGCTTCTATTCTGGCCCTCATCCTATTCCCATGCAAAATTTCTTAAGGATCGGGCCATAAATGCGATCTGTATATGATATCCTGATATCCTAACTACTTAGTTTTCTTAGCTGTAGAAATATTACCAAATGTTTAATTCAAAATGAAAATATGCCAAAAATATGACAAAATTGAAAAAATATGAGAAAATTTTACAAAATCAATATTTTCATTTTTCGAGAGATATATTTATGCGATTTTTTAGACGTTTTTTCTTTCCTGCCAAAAGGCCATTCTGAATTAATGAGAACTGTCGAAATTAGTTCAGCCGTTCTCGACATATAAGAGATCTTTCAAGCATATCTTCTTTGATAGACATATATATCGCACATATTTTGCTTTATATCCGATTTGTTGGATGTTAACATCAATGTAAAGATCCGAAGTAACCTTGTCATGGCTTTCTGATTTCGCCGGGATTTAAAATATTCGCGGTTTAATAAACAATTTTGAATTTTTTCAACACAAAAGATATGGTCTATTTTACACGCTAAATATTATCCGATGACCACCCAAATTGGTAGGCTTCTTCCCCGCCCTAAACTCTAGCTACATGCGAAATTCCGCGTCGATTGGTCTATAATTGCGACCTGAATAGCTACTGCAAAATCCGACATTTTTTCAGTATTTGGTCCATTTAAACCCCTAAACATTTGGCGATCATCTCCAAAAGAAATAGGCTTCTATTCTGACCCAAACCCCACCTTCGTGCAAAATTTCGTAAGGATCGGGCCATAATTGCGACCTGTAGCTTGATTACAAATTAACATGGACAGACGGACGGACGGACATACATAGCTAGATCAGCTCAGCTCGGCGAGCTAGGAAGATCCTTATATAATTTCCTATATGGGAAACCAATATTTCGAGGTGTTACATAAATTCTGGCCCAATCAAACTTATAATACCCCCAACACATAGTGTTGTAGGGTATAAATATTTCTTAAATTGAATATTTGTATGAACTGATTGCTTAAGTCTGGAGTATTCGCCCATTGTCTCCCATACTCCCTATTACAAACAGCAATGTTTTCGATTTCTGTATTTCAAACTTCTCCGCGTAATTTTTAGCCAACTAATATTCATTTTCCTCCTATTTATTCTTTCTTTTTTTCCATTGAACTTACCTCTTTTTGGCTATATTGTTGCATTCTTTAATTTCCCGTTTAAAGTTTTTTTGTTCTTTCGCACACTTTTCTTTATATTAATCTTATAACGTTTCATTGTTCTCGCCTATTTTGCCACAAACAATTGTAGTTGTATCCCTTTTCTCCGAATTCCTGTGGCATAGACGGTGGTTAGGATTTCTATTCAATTTTAGAATAGATATCAGAGATAAAGTTATTTTTTAAAGAAACTTTAGTCTATAAAGCCGACACAGAAATGGCTCTGCTGGAAATGAGAAATAAAACTTTAGGTTTCTTCCTTTCTTTGGTGTTAGTGGTAGTAGCAACCCATTGTTATTTTTTTTGTAGTTGCATAGTCAATACATCCGTTCAAAGTACGCTGTTTACTCTTTTTTGATGTTTTTTGCTTCGTATAGTGAAGTATCCCCACAATTTCTGGCCTACTTAAGAATATGGTATGGCAAAATGTCATACAGCTCAGTTTTTAGCTCTGTGTGTTTACATGCTCATAGTATGCCCTTAATCCCATTGTAAATAATTGTTGAATCTGGAATTTTTTCTGTACTATTTTTTTAATGATTTTTAGTTCTTTTTTAAGGCGAAAGAAGAATTTAATCTTGTTTGTATAGACAGCAATAGCGTCATAGAATGTAGCTGTTAAAAGTTATCAAACATTATTTTAATTAAATTTTAGTTCAATAACAGTTAAAAACTTTGTTTTCCTGAAAACTTGCAATGGAGATGGAAACATTTATCTGAACATATATAATAGTAAAATAAAGTGTGATTTTTTAGGTATTCTCTTCGAAACTTGGCTGAAGATCTACTTTTTTTTATCGAAATAGGGTGTTTAAAGATTTATTTCGCTACAAAAATTTAATTTTTGTCCATTTTTTATCCAATTATTCCCCGAACTTCATTATCGTGGTCTACGACGCCCGTTCACCAGGATTCACGATTATCCTCGTATCATCCGCAACCCGATCATCTGGATTCCTGGACACCCGAATTGCTCCCCCCATTCACCAGAGTTGCCGATTATTTTCCAATCGTCTCCAAGATCTCCAAACATCATCATCGTAATCCCTGGATACGCGATGTCCGTTCATCAAAGTTCCCGATTATCTTCAACTTGTCTACAACCCGAACATCATAATCGTGGTACCCGACGACCGTACATCAGAATTCCCGATTATTCTCGGATCAATCCATTTACCAGAGTTCCCGATGATGATGAGAAGATTATCATCGTAATCCCCGAATACCTGACGACCTGAAGATTATCATCGTGATAGTCTGTTACCCGACGTCTGTTTATCAGAGTCCTCGATTATTTTCAATTCGTCTACAATCCCAACGTCATCATCCTGATCCCCGACAGCCGTTCTCCAGAATTCACGATTATCCTTGGATCATCCGTAACCCGAAAATACGGATCCGGACACCCAACTTCCATCCCCTATTCACCAGACTTGCCGAATATTTTCCAATCGCCTCCAACCCGAACATTATCGTCATATTCCCTGGATACTCGATGTCCGTTCAACAGAGTTCCCGATTGTCTTCAAATTGCTACAATGCGAACCTTATCTTTGTTGTCCAAGACGACCGTTCACCAGAATTCCCCATTACCCTCGGATCATCCATAACTCGAACATTCCCGACGACCACTCATCACCGTAATATCATCGTCGTAATCCCCATACATCACAGTTTACGCCGTAGAGCGCCAAAATTTAGCAGAACAATTTTTATTGTGTCTAGGATGGTTGGTATTGAAAATGAGATATATCGGTTCACGTTCTGGTATAGTCCCCATATAACGGTACCTCCCAATATTCGGTATTTCAATGATTTTTGACACATTTCTTCATGGATGTGTCTGAAAATTGGTAATTGTAGATCATAATGGGCCCTAGTTCGTGTGGCAAGTCATTGTAATTATAGGTCCACGTTTTGGTATAGCCCTATATAACGGTACCTCCCGATTTTCGGTAAGTTGATGATTTTTGCCACATTTTTTCACGGATTTGTGTGAAAATTGGTATTTGTTGGTCATAATGGGTTCTAGCTCCGTTGGCGAAACATTGCATGTGTAGGTCCACGATTTGGTTGGTTTTGGCCCCCATATAACGGTACCTCCCGATATTCGGTATTTTAATGGTTTTTGCCAAATTTATTCTAATGTTTCCTTTACCCTAAGGTGGAGGGTATTAAAAGTTTGGTCCGACCGAGCTTAATGTTTTTTTTTTTATTTGTTTCATTTTCAACCGAATTTTACCATTCAGTGAAACTCGGTCCGGTATATATATTGCTCCAATAAATAGTTTTCAATATAATCCTTATCGAAGTCATATCATCCACTATACAGCAATGCTATTTGGTTCATAGGTGGTACGATTTACTTCACATAAATTCCCAATATAAACTTTTTTGTTACGTGAGCTCTACTAAATACGTATAGTGGTGTAGGGTATCATACAGTCCGTCCCGCCGACTGGTTACTCTCTACTTTCATAATTTACTGAGTTTTTCCTATAATTATATTTTGTGTAGCACAGTTTGATAACCATTTTTTAACCCCTTTTGCAACTTATACTTTTTGCTATATCTTTACTCATATTTAGTTGATTGTTAAATATTTCAATAGACATATTCTTCATTAAAGCATTGGAGTAAAAACGAAATTACAACAACCATATTTATAAGGAGTAACAAGTGACCGTCTCCACATTTGTTAATAGCACTACTATTTCAACTTATACAACAATTATTCATGCATTTTGTTTAATTATTCGAATTTTCTTTTAATTTAATCACATAATTCACATAAACATCTCGGGTGTTAATTACATTTGTGTTTCGGTCATTTCCACAACAATTCTTATTGTTTTAGATTTTTCCAGACAAAAAAAATTCATACAGTGTTCACATACAAAATTCGTTGGCTATTCTAAATGTATCATAACATTTGTGTGGGCACAGCCACAAAGCAATCATTGAACCCATGACCTTCATTTCTCAACTCAATATTCACTGCAGTGCAATGAAGTGCGACTTTTGGCCTCAATACGATTTTAACACTTGACATTATCAGTTAATTAACCGAGTTTCACTCAAAAAGGCGAATACAGTTGTACGAACACGAAGTGGTCTTTAATGCCATTAGTATCAATGGTGTTGCATAATTATTTTGTGGCATTTGACAATGACACCACATTTACCAGCCAATATTATTATTGGTTCGCTATGACAACTTGAAGTGAATGTGAGAGAATGGTATGTGTTTATGGCATTTAATGGGCAATCAACAAGTTTTTGGCGTTAAATGGTTGCGTATGAATGTTCCTAATTTTATTGTTCGGTGAGACAAAAATGCAATTATTTTTCAATAATTGCAGGAAAAGTCCAGTAGATTATGGAAGTAAAATTTAAAAGATGGGTCATAAAGGTCCATGTTTTAATATAGCTTCTATACAACTGTACTGCCAGATAAAAGGTTTTTTGGATGTTTTATCCATATTTTTTTAACAGAATTTGCAGTCAAATCGTTTTGAACCATCTTGAAACCAAAATTTATATAGTTTCTCACATACTGTATGGCATGAATTTATTCGAGGAATTTATATGACTAGTAGGCTGAAAAAAAAAAAACAATTTTGTCATTCAAATTTTTGTATTGAGTATTATTTCTGGCATTGACTCTGAAAAGACTTAACCAAACGTATTTTTGAAAAAAAAAAAAAAAAAAATTATGTGAATTCAGATTTAAATCCCGGAAAAAATGTATATTCTAAAACAAGAATTAGAAGCTACCACCTGGAGTTGAGATAAAATTATTATCCTTGGAATTTGCTGACGAATTGAAGACGCGTTTTTAGTCCGAAAAATCGAATACCAATGCCCGATTGTAAGCTATCATGAAGTTCGCATTACATCTATATCCGAAAGAAAATATATAAAATTTATTTATATAACTGTTTTCAAGGTTCGCGGATTTCCCGCTACAATATATATTCAAGAAATATCATCTGAAGTTCATCGCTTGATCTGTGTAAATTACGTTGAAGTATTTGGGTAAGTCCAATTCATAATATATTTCATTTTTATTTTTTAGCTATTATATCTTTTTGACAGAACACTTATTTAAACACCTCACGCACGAGCTCGTTTTATGCTGCCTCGGATTAATATTTGGAGTTGCTACTAACGGAATGACAAATTGAATACATATTAAGATGGAAATGCATTTATTTTTACAATTTATCTTTATTCCCAAATCAAGGCTTAAATGACTGAACGTGAATGCTTTTGTAAATGTATTTGAGATTTGCTTTCAAAACTTTATGATCTAAAATTAAAACAAGCAAAATTAATAAAATACATTTGGAAAAGCAGATTGCACATTGACTTCATATCCCACCGATACCGATAATAGCTATTGCAATCAATAACTAACTGGAAACAAACAAAGATGTTAACTCCAGTAGAGTTTTGTTGCTAGTTGCCTGCAAAAAATCTATCCATGGCAAAAATCCTGAAAATAGCTGCGAAAAACTGAAATTAATTTCAAAGGCAAATAAAAATATGGCCAACGGGAGCCAATCATTTGCAATAGAGTAAACAAACTAACTTACAAATTAGGCGAACGATTTTTGCCAAAAACAGAAAACAGAAGTTAGCTGTTTACAATTGCGCCATAGTGAAATTTGAGGACAGCTTACAGTGGTGGTACAAAACGAAATGGGTAATCAAGTATTGGCAGCATAAATTCAGCTGAAGTGACTATGAGTTGCCATATATTACTACGCAAATTCGAGTATGAAAGGTGACGCATTTCTTGTTTTTTCAATAAAGTTCGTTCTTGGGCCAAAAAAAAAATGATTTGTGCAAAATTTCATCTGGATCGGGCAATAAATGCGAACTGCATTTATATCTTTTAAATTCGGACTTGTATTGCCCATTTGGTGCACAAATAATTTGAAATCGGATAAAGATATATAGGAGCTATATCCAAATCAGAACCGATCTCGATAAAATTAAGCAAATGTATTATTTAGCAGTATTTGATATACATACCCAAATATTGTTGTTACAGAGTGCATATTACGCTGCGGAGGACAAAAATAACAAATCGGATGAACAATATATATGGGAGCTATAGATATATCTGAACCGATTTCGATCAAATTTTGTATACTTATTTTCAGGCTTGATTTGTTGTATGTGCAAAATTCCATATTATTCCGACTGATACATAAGGCAAATCGGACTAAGATATACATGGGAGCTATATCTAAATTTTTACCGATTATCTCCAATTTCAATAGGGTTCCTCGTTGGACCAAACAAATGGTTTGTGCGAAATTTCATCTGGATAGGGCAATAAATGCGAACTATACTTTGTTTACCAAAAGACATGGGCAGACGGAAGGACGGACGGACATGCATAAATCGACTCAGAATGTGATTCTATGCAGATCATCAAAAGGAACTATGGGTCTATCTCGTTTCCTTTTGCCTGTTACAAAGAAATGCACAAAGACATAATACCCTGACAACCTTGTGGTGTAGGGTATAATATAATATATTATAATAATATAATAATAATAATAATAATAATAATAATAATAATAATAATAATAATAATAATAATAATAATAATAATAATAATAATAATAATAATAATAATAATAATAATAATAATAATAATAATAATAATAATAATAATAATAATAATAATAATAATAATAATAATAATAATAATAATAATAATAATAATAATAATAATAATAATAGTAATAAAAAAAACTTCAAGTCTTCAGCTTTGTAAGTTCTCCCAAATCCAATTTTAACCAAATTTAGTACATTAAGTTCAAAAACTTCCTACATACCCCACTCCAAATTTTCAAAACTATCTCCAAACATACAATCCCATAGGAATTTTGTTTCCAAATTTCACAATTCCAATTCTATCGGCACATTAAAAATATTACTCAGTACTAATTGTCAGTATCACTCAAATGGAACGATAATAAACGGATTTGCAATATATTGTTGCATTACAAGCGCCATAATAAAGCATTTCGCGCAACTTAGCAATGTACAGATATTTCCATTGGACATAATTTTTGAAATGCGATTAGGAAAATGGTTGACTGGTTTATTAGTGGACTGGCTAAGTTATGACTGCAAAAGGCATGCAATGTTCCTTCTTATGGGGTCTTTATAATTCTCTGTGGACAGCACTTGTTTAATGGGAAAATATGGCACACCATTCACCATGGCGAAAAGACAAACATTCACACACAAACATACAACTATAAAAATACTTGTCACTTCATAGCAAAAAGCACTACTATCGACACAGTTACACACCCGGCTAAGTCACGATGAGCCAACTCGGACGCAATGGTCATGGCGTTTCTAGATTCAACTTCCTGTTAACAGAGTGTTGCTGTGGCAAGCACAAAATCGTAAGGCTATTTCAGCGAATTCTTGCAATTTCCGCCAAAGGCATTTTAGCCAAATGGCAGCCATCATGGTTTTGTCTAAGGCGGAAACTGCGTAGAAAAATTAGCGATGACAATCGGAGTATTCAAGCAGACACACAGGATCAAAATATTTTGAAATTCAGTGAAAAACTTCCTTGAGAAGTTTGGGTGGTTGATATTTAAAGTCGTTTTAAGCCTTATTATCCTTGGACACATTTTTATTGTTAGTTATATAAGAAAACCACGAAAAGTAAAACATAGTCATTTCGACAAAAATTTGCCAAAATAGAAATTAGAAATATCTTGGAAAATATTTTTAAAATAGAAATTACAAATATTTTGAAAAAATATTTTGAAAAAATATTTTGATTGTTTCTTAGAATTTTGAGATAAGCTCTTCTTTAAGAAACATAGAAACAAAATCAGTAGGCTTTAAAAATGAAGTGGGGATTTATTTGATCAGATTTGATTGTATTTTTTATCCTACATTCTCTAAAGAGACACTGTATTAGAAAGATATTAAAACCTAAAGGTCGGTATCACCGTTGAAAGATGTTGCTACAATTTTAAGAATTCCAAATGGAAAACGTTGACCTTTACCTCCAATTATATGTCAGATAGGAACTACAAACATCAAGTTTGAAATAATTCCGTTGAAAAATGTAGCTTAAATCATAAAAATATCGAATATTAGGAGGAACCGTAATGTGGGGGCCTGAACTCATAGGAAGCAGAACCCATTTCAAACCCCCCAATTCCGAATTAATGAAATACTTCTGGTGAAAAATGTTGTTTAAGTCATCAAAATATCGAATATAGGGAAGTACAGTTATAAGGGGGCTACATGAAGAGGTGGACCTCTAAAGGTAATTTCTATCATAGGAGGTAGTGCCCATTACATCCTCAAAATACACAAATTGAAATAATTCCGGTGAAAAATGGAAACGAAACCGTGCACCTCTACAGCCAGAAAATTTATTTATTACAAACTCCAAATAAAATGTAGCTAAAATCATCAACATACCGAATTTTGAGAGGAACAGTTATATAGAGTTTACGCGAAGGCATAGATCTCTACAGCCAATTATCTGTCAGAGAAGGCGATTCCTATTATAATTTCCAAATGCTAGTTATACCCTACAACACCATGTGTTGGGGGTATTATAAGTTTGATTGGGCCAAAAATTATGTAACACCTCGAAATATTGATTCCCCACATAGGAAAGTATATGGATCTTCCTATCTCGCCGAACTGAGTCGATCTAGCTATGTATGTCCGTCCGTCCGTCTGTCCATCTTAATCTGTAATCACTCTACAGGTCGCAATTATGGCCCGATCTTCACGAAATTTAGAATGGAGGTGGGGATGGGGTCAGAATATATCTTTTGGAGATGATCGCATAATATTTAGGGGTTGAAATGGACCAAAAACTGAAAAATTTCCTGATTTTGCAGTTGCTCTACAAGTCGCAGACCAATCGACGCGGAAGTTAGCATAGGGCTAGAGCTAGGGGCTGAGCAGAATTGTTCCAATTTTGATGGTCATCGGGTAATATTTAGAGGGTGAAATAGACCATAACATTCGTGTTAAATAAAAGTCAAATTTTCCATTAAACCGCGAATATTTTTAATCCCGGCTAAATCATAAATAGACAAAAAGATCAATTCTGACCGTTAAGTAGATGCCAATAGTGAATATATCGGCTATATATAGCGAAATATATACAATTTGTGTATAGAAAGGAAGGGGATGTTAGCTAGAATGCTTATATCTCAAGAATGGGTGGACCGATTTTGACAAATTTTGTAAAATTAGAATTCCCTTTTGGCATAAAAGTATAAAATCTAAAAAAAAAAATCGCATAAAAAGATACCAATAATAATGTTAATATAGATTTTGTAGTATTTTGTGACAATTTTTTATTTTTTCATATTTTTTATCGCATGCGATTTTTTCAATTTGACTTATAATATTGAAGTGTATATTTTGTAATATTTTTGCACTTTACAACACAGGTTGGGGTTATTATTTATATATAGATTGCAATTATCGTTCGATCCTCACGAAATTTTTGACAAAGGTAGGCTTAGGCTCAGATGGGCTTCAAAGATGTCCGCAATATATGTAGGGGTTGAAATGGACCAGCAACTCAAAATGTTCCTGATTTTGCAGCCGTTATAAAGGTCACAAATAGAAACCAAAGGACACGAAATCTTGCATGAAGTTAGAATTTAAGAGAGCGGGTAGAATTTAAAACTGCGGGACCACTACTTTTGTGTGAAAAAATACCAACATTACTTACATGTGATATCCGAAATACACAATAGGCGAACTTCTCGCTTTTTATGCTGATTTAGTTGACGAATATAGCCAAATTGCTTTTGGAGATGATCGGAAAATATTTAGGGGGTCAAATGAACCAAAAATAGAAAAAAATCCTGATCACACAATAGAAGCCAATCGACACGCCTGAGAAGATAGTTAAGCACAGTGAATAATTCTAGAATTTTGGATGACCATTGGATTATATATAGCCTAAAATGGACCACAAAAACTAACAGCACGACGGAGTGCATAAATATCGGGAAAATGTCCCTGGTAAAAATGCTAAGGGTAATATCTGGGCAGTGCTCCGTGACATAATTTCAAAAGCGTAATCTTCCAAAATGGATTTGGACATGAGGGGGCTTTTCACATATTGTAGTGTTGTAGGGTATCACATGATCGGCCCCGCACGACTATAGCCTTTGCTTACGTGTTGTGAGATAATTCTGCTAAAATAATTACAATGCCAAATATATGTAGGTATAGTTACATGGGGTCTATATATACAAAAACTTGGACCTATTCGTACAGTTCTGTGCAAGGATGTTTCCTGCATAGTAGGAACAAATATTCTCAATT